AATGCGAAATATTAAAACAATTACTGTTTAATGTATTGCTTGTCTCAAGTCACAGTGTAAATACTGCATGCGTTCCCAACAAGAGCAGCAGGTGCTAGCTTTACCGCTTCCTACCATGTGCTCCATGCTGCTGCTTTGGACTTCTTCCAATGTCTTGCAAATCATCTGTGCAGAGGTCAGTGGCTGGAGCTTGAGGCTGTGAGGAGCCTTAGGAGTGCCACGGGGCTGCGGGAGGGATTGGCTTGGTTCTGATAAATACAGTGGGCTGCGTGCCCTGTGTTGGCCATCCAACTCTCCTGCTATCAAAAGCAAGACACTAAGAAGCCCTGGTGTGGTCTGCACTGCTGGGGCAGTGGTGGTGGTGGCCCAAGTCTTTGCTTGGCTGGAAAAAAAAGTGCACCTTGTGTCTAGCATCGGGTGGGAGAGTCTGGACCCAGTGCATTCATCCTCCTTGAGGAGCTGAAGCACAGGTATCCTACTTTCAGATCCACCTGAAGGAGGACTGATAGGACCACGTTCACACAAATTTGTCTCTCTTTAAACTGACTTGGCAGTTCCGTGCTCCTCAAATTATAGATGTGTTTTCTCTGCACCATTTAATACATCTCAGCGCTGTTTGGTTTGATGCCCCGGGTGAGTCAGAGAAGCGCACGGACAGGTTGTGTGCGATTTTGCAGAGTGCCAATGGCGTACGTGATGTTTGGTGTAGCTCTATAACAAACCGGGACCCATCTGCCAACCTTGGCTGGGCCAGAGTAACCAGTCGTGGGATTGCTTTTGTCGGTGTCTGCCTCTGATGCACCCATGGCCCTGGGAAGAGGAAGGCAGCGAGCGCTGTGCAGAGCGGCGCCTGTAAGGCTGAGCCAGTTGCAGCCCTTCCATATACACCCCTGGTTTTGGGGCTCCCCTTGTCATTAGGGTGGATGTGCCCGATGGGATGGAGCCAACCCCAAAGCGTTCCTCATGGTTTTTTTGCTTGTCTCTGTTTGCTTGGAGCAAAGTGAATGGCTCTCAGCCCATGGCTGCTCTCTCCTGGAAGAAAGCCGGTCCTGCGGAGCAGCCAGCCCCTCTCCTCCGCAGCACCAGGCTGGCTTCCTGACCTGCAGCGTGCCGTTTGGAGTTACCTCTTCCACTTCTATGATTTTTATCTGCATAGGAGGGATGGGCTTTGCTGCTTTAATGTTCGACAGGGTTTTCAAATGAGATGAAAAGTCATCGGATACCTTGATCTATTGAGCAAGAAGTTTGTCATTCTCTGCATGCTGTTGGCCCATGGTTTGCTGCTTGCTCCCTCCTAATAGGCAGGAAATTAAGTGCGGTAGCTCATAGTTCCTCTGTGCTATTTTTTTACTAGAGAACAAAACATTGAGGAAACAAAATGATTTGGGAGGAAGATGAAACCTATTCAAGAAAGTAACTTTTTTTTTAATTTTCAGGTTCTACATTGAAAGCATATCCTTTCTCAAGGACAAAACTACGGTCGAGCTGTTCTTTCTGAATGCCAAGTCTTGTGTGCACCAGGTAAGTCCCAGCGTTCCATTGGAGCTCCTTGTTGTGCATCTTCCATTTATTGCTCCTTTGCCGTCTACACGGTACTGCAGACTTGCTAGGAGCTGCGTCTAATTTCTAGATCTTATTGAAGTATTAAAATCTCAGCGTGCTTTCTCTCCTCCTTCACTTAAATGCTGATGCTCCAAGCAAATGGATAAGGATGATGATGGTTTCCTTGTCCTGTTTTCACAGCCCCGCTGTGTGCTCACTGTGCTAGAATAAGTCTTAAATACTCAAAAGCTTTTAAGTTGTTTGAAATCTGGGTTGTACCTTCACAGGTAGGTTCTGTCTCGGTGGCGTATCCTTCTGTACACTGCACAGTAAATGCTCAAGGCAAGCATCTCTTTACTGATCTGAAGTCAAACTTGTCTCAAGAACAAAAGCTCTGTGAGGAAAGTCTGACGCTGGGAACTTGTTTCCTAGTTCCCTGATTTCCTGCCTTAATTCAGTGAGGTAGTAAAGTAATAAACCCTATAAAGCAGTAATCAAGACTAGTAATTAAAATACTTTTTCTATTTATTCTCTGGTTAAGAAGCTTCCACCATTTTCTTGAAATGTTTGAATTGGTAGAACATACTTTTAAAAGTTACTTTGTGATATGGTAGCCAAAACTCAAAAAAAAAAAAAAAAAAAGTTGATCTGCAGATTCATTGTGGTGTCTGAAAAAAGGGCGGTGTGGCAGGCACCTTCGGTGTGCCCCTAATAACCAGTGGTGCAACAGCAGCTGCAGCTCAGTGAGCTTTACTCCAGCAATGCCTGATGCTTCTGGGATTTTCCAGTTAATGTCAAACTCCGGCATCTGGCTGTTCTTTTATTTTACTCGTGGTTCCATCAGTCTAAAAGGGTCACTTGGCTCTTACAATCTTTTCTTGGAAAACAATCCTGTATCATTAGCGGGTGGTGGAGCTTGGTGTAGCTGGCCGAAGTTTCCACCTTTAATACGCTTCATATTTTAGAGGATTCTTATTCAGTATCCAGTATTTGTTATTTTATGGTGGGATCAGAAACCTGATGTGAAAGTGGTTAATGGCAAAGTTGTGACTGTGCTGCGTACAGGAATTGCTTTCTGGAAGAGTGGAGGAAATTTGGGCCTTTTTACAACATGCTAAAGTTTTAAAGATGTTTGAAGAACTTGGGGCCTAGCTGGTTAAGATTAATAAAAAGCAAATCTCTATTTGGCATATCTGCCATTTTAAATGAAGGGTCTTGGCAACTTGTAGTCATCCTTTCAGGGAATACTGGAGCACTTTAAACAGAAAGTGCAAATAATTTTGGAATTGGAAAATGGGTCTGGCTTTAGGATGGAATGTGAAAAATGCCACTGCTGTTGAAACAAATACTGTCAACATCAAAACATTTGGTGCAAGTATATGTGTTTATATGTGTATATGCACATGAGAGCAAAGGAGGAGAAGCAGCATAAAAAAAACCCCTTCCCTCGCTGATCACACGCATGTAATCAAACCAATAAGGAGTCACTTCTGGCCTGGTTAAATATTATTCAAGCAGCGTAACTTCACATTACTGCAATGAAGTGCTGATAGCATGTGAAGCGCTGATGGTGCATGCAGTGCTGCGGTAAGCAGCCTGTGCATCATCCAGAGGAGTTCAGGGCTTTGGGAGCTGGGGAGAGGTTTGAGTGGAGGCTGGTTTGTATTTTCCCCCCATGGCTTGCAAGGTGTTTGCTCTAATTGGTAGCAACCCGACGTGCCGGCTTCCCTGTTCCTGCAAGCAAAACTGCCAGAAGCAGGGAGGGTTTTCTGTTGCGTCCAGTTTCTGTAGGCAGCGGAGGGATGAGGAACACCGCTTCCTCCCAAGAGGAGGATCTCCGCAGGCAGTGCCGAGCGATTCGGCGCGTAATGAAAGCCGAGAGCCCCCGCTCTGCCTGCTGCACCTTCTGTGCTGGGCAGCTTCGCAGCCCAGCTTCAGTAGAAGCCTGCAGCGACTTCGCCAGGAGCCGGTTTATTTACTTTCAAGATACATTTGGTCCAGTGGCTTTTAACCTTCAAATCAGGTCTTTTAAAAATATTTTATCCTACTTAGTAAACTTACGGTCAGTCTCTAGGTTTCAAGTGGTGCATGAAGTGCACACCGGACCAATTCTCATATTTAAGCCCACGGGACGTGGACAAGAAGATGCACAAAGGCACCTTGGATGCGCTCGCGCAGTGTGCATGCTCCCACGGTGCTGCCAGGCTCCGCTGTGCTGCAGGGAAGGAGGCGCAGGATGCGGGACGGGCGGTGTCGGCTCCTGAATATGAGCACATCCCAGCTCCCGTGAAGCTAGTGGCTGATGCGTGCTGATGACAGCGAGGAATGTTCCCTGGTATTTCTCAGTTGTTAATCCATCTTGGGGAGGTTAGAACTGCCTTAGCTTAGCTTTTCTCCGTTTTGGGTTTTTTTTTTTTTCCCCTTTCCTTTCCTTGCTGCATGAGTGAGGAAACCCCAGCGTCTTAAAAAGCAGCAACCTACAGCCAGCCCACATGCTCTGGGGTGCTCCTCAATGCATGACACGTGCTGGAGGATGCCCTACAGGGGCCGTATCCTAACCTGGATCTTTGCATGGAGCTGCTGCTCTGTGTGGGCCAGGAATGTGGCTCAGAGCATAAATGCTGCAATACTGGGGTGTGAGAAGACCTGCGTGGATAAGATTGCTTAAAAGCCAGCTGTGTATTTTGCTTTCGCAAAGCTATTTCCAACGTTTTCACAGTAGCTTGTTCCCCACAGGGGACACGGTGGGTGGGAGAGCCCAAATCCAGGGTGGTGCAGAGGCCTGATGCTTGAAGGAGTTTGTGTTTGTGTCTTTTAGACATTCCTAAGCGCTGGCATGCGTTGACAGCACAGCAGTGTGCGGGTACTCGTGCTTCCGTGGCTTGTGTGCTTTAAAGGAAAATGATGCTTTCCTAAGCAGAGGGTGAGAGGGTGAGGTTGCCCTGCCCGTGAGATGGTGCATGTCGGCGCTCCTGCGTGCGTGTAGGACGCACCACGAGAACCAACCCAAGGCTTGGGCAAACAGCCAGCGCGTTGGCGAAGGTTCATGCCAGTCCCTCCTCTGGAGGGGATTTATCCATGGCTTATGAGGTTCAGAGACTGCATCATAAATGTATTTACAGTATTCTTCGAGAGATCTGTGGACGATCCTGCGTATGAAATCCTGTAAGTGGCTGTATCTAACCACAGAGAATGGTATCTCCCCAACAAAGTCCAGCATCTCTGGGTCTAGGCTGGAGCTGCTGAGCCATGTGTGTTGGCTGTCTTGCCCCAGATGACTCCAGAGAGGTTTTGCTCCCAGCTGAATACAAATTCAGAATAAATAATATAGCATATTTAAATATATGAA